TTTGTTCCTAATTTATTTACTTTTTTACGGGTACCCGGCCCGGAAAAATGGAACCAGGTTTTGAAATCGACGGGCGGGTACCCGGGTACCCGGCACAGGCCTAGCTGAAAACAACCAGAAAGTGCTGTTTCCGGCCATCAGGGGGCTTTTAGATTCCAAACATTTTCTGGTACGCTTGCGCCAACCGATGGTGGCGCTCTGCTTAGATAGTCCTGCCGGCACTAAAACCATCCTGGGCAGAACCCTGGATGACTCATACCTTGTGTTAAGACCACACGTGTCTTCATGTTTGGTTGTAACTTTCTTGCTCTTCCTTTTCAGCATGTTTGATATCAGATTTGGCAAACATATAACGGAAAAATCTTCATAAATCTCCCATAGAGATCTCAAGTGCCAGCATGATTTTCTGCATACATGGCATAGTGCCTGCCGTGGGCATTTGTGCCGTCGGTTTATTACATGTAAGTGATGGATTTTTAACAACCTGACCATTTACCAACTGGACTTCATTCTTTTTTTTGGGGGGGGGGACTTTACTGAACTCTAAATTCTGGGTTTCTTTGAAAGGGGGACATCAATTTATTCTTTTGGCTCTTGGAAAACATTAGTGGACTTTTTCATTTTGTGGGGGAATGACGGTTTTGTTTAGTAACTTTTTGGGGGTGTAATAATGAAACTTGTTAAATCTTGACTTCTTTTGGAAATATTTCTGGTTTCATTTTTAATTTTTTGGGGGGAGTGGTGGTTGCCTTCCTTATTAAAATTCTTTTTAAAACTAGTTACTACTGACATGAAACATGACATCACTCCATCATCACGGTGGATTGCATGGCTGGCCATGTTGACCAGCACCAGTTTCCTGACTGCGCGTGCACATGCACGACGTCTACGTGTCTCACATTAATGTCACCCCACCAGCGTGTAGGGAAGGCAGTGTAGCCAAACGGGCAACATACTAATGTACATGTAGGTGACAAACTGTGGGGAGCTGCCTGTGATTGATTATGAGTGGAGCATGCCCTCAACCTTTCACCTTTGTGTTTATATTGTTGCATGGCGCAATGGCAACATACATGTACATGTATCTTATCACTTTCAGACTTACATTTGTTTCTATGCCTATATTGGAAACAGTTCTATTTTCTTTTATGATGTATATGCTTGAATTGCCTGGGATTCCCTCAAAGAAACTTTTAGTTAGTCCATGTCAAATTTCTGGATTTAATTACAGGGCACATGTACATGTAGTTTCCTACATGTAAGTGATTGAAGGGGCATTGTATGTTTTTACTATTTATACTGTGCATGGTTACGCCATTCCCTGCACGTTTTGCTGAGCCCACTGTGTCCCATGCACTCTTCTTCCATGGCTGACACTTTATGAACAGAAGGTCTGACTTTCTGTCCAATTTTTCGTCATACTTTTACTGAGAGGCTTCAGGCCTTGGCCTGTGGACCACACTTTTGGCACCAAGAACCAATGGTGTACGGGTGAATTGGGATCTATAAAGTTAGGGTATCCTTGTGCAAGTGCAAGTACATGTAATTTATATTTTGTGTTCTCAATTATTTGTAACCTTCAGCTGTGTACAGAAGGCCTGTATGTCTTGCATGATCATGTGATCTACTCATTTGCTGTGATAGGGAAATTGGTCACTGCTGTAGCTTTAAATTATTCGTTTGCAGTTGGCTTGGGCGGTATTTCGGTATTACCGAATACCGCGGTTTTGATTTTAATACCGAACAATACCGACTAACAATCCATGAATACCACAATACCGACTTATTCGGTATTGAATTTCAACACCGCGGTATTCTGGCTAATTTGTTCACAATGTTCCCACAACCCCCATAAGATGAAAGCAGACAATTATATCCACAACAGTGACTGCATACTTTGTGGTTTCAGTCATCCAGCATCACATTTGTATTGTGTCTTTTGGTGAAGAGATAAGACGTAACGTGATACTTCAGCATGCAGCCATCAACCTGCCTGTCAAAAGGTTTTGTTTCCCTATCGCCGCCGTCAAGTTTGCGGTTTTGGAATAGCTTGTAGGCAGTGCTTCTTGTATTGCTCGTTGGCACATGTATACATGTACATGTATCACAGCCCTACAGGTTGGGAATTAAAAAATCAGCTGGTCTTCCGTGTCCGCACTGGACTTTATTTGCCGCAGATTTTTATTGGCGGATCAGAAAATGCGAATGCTGCTTGTGCTAGCCTTGTGCTCTCTT